CTAAATGTTAAACTATGTAGCATATATATTTTAATAATTAAGGTATCAGATGAAAGTGAAGGACTAGTGATCCTTGTAGAACACACAATTTACTGATATGTTTGATTAATACAAACCAGTGCAGTACGGTCTGATGTATAAATACAGGTATATTGATTCCGCTTGGATAAAATGGTGACATTATTCAAAATATAGTATCGGGTATAGTTCTATGTTAATTTAGAATTCATATGATGTACTGTACGACCCGTAACATTCTCTTATGCATGTCGGCAATAAAATTTATGGTGACCATGATGGACCTACATGTCGAACATATGTTCACCTTTTGTTTGATTAATAAACGAGATAATCATCGGATTAGGTGTCCCCAGTCAACCGTACAGGAACGTGCCAATTGTACCAGGTGATTAATTTAATACATAAAGTAACAACAGGTGAGGCATCTCATGTAAATCTTAATTACATTATGTGCAATGTGTCACAGTTGATGTGTTTTGACAGAATTCTGCATAAGCTGTTATCATAATTATAAATTTCTAAATCAGCACATCGATTTAAAATTATATCTTTACTTTACTTTTCAGGTCTGTCTGGCAAATACGAATGTGTTTACGTATTAGTCCAAATTTTGTTTTCTCGAAAGACATAATTTATATGAAAATTAATTTAGAAAAAAATAATTGCAGTTTTAAAGAAAAATATTTTGAGTTGTGAGATAAAGACAGAAAACTTCGTATATACATGCGATAAATATAGACTTTAGGGTAAAGCAAAAAGTAATATGAGTATATGTGTTTATTTGTATATATTAGACACGAATGAATACAATAAATTTTATGTTATTTTCGGTATTTTTAGCAGCAAACAGTGCCGTTTTTCGTTTTTGACAGATGCATAGCTCATTAATTATGCAGGAATGTGTTGAACAGTTAAGAACGATGACCTAAACCTTGAATAGCGGCGGTCAACATATGAAAAACGAACCTTTTATTTCGTTTCAAAAATCGAGTTCATTTCTTATCTTTTCTCTTACTAATGTAAACAATTTCCCACTTCTTTATTTTCATATATCTCTTAAATAATTGTTGTTATTTGTCTGGTCCATCCTTTATCTGATGATTTTTTTTTCACGAATGTAAATTAGACAGAGTGTTGTTGAGGTACGGAAGGGGCAATATTTATTTTTAGAACTTGTTCTCGTTTCTCACGCATGTTAATGTAAACGGCTAAACTCCTTTGATGATTACGGGTACGTTCATCTAAAATACATTGTACCTTTTCATGATTGTTGTTGCAGTTTACTGACAAAATTATTGAGTGTTGAAAAAATCAGTGTACTAGTACTTAATTTAAAGTATAAAAAGTTTATTTTATGTATTGTCTGTCCATTGATACATTTCGGTAGCTTTAACACATGTTACATTTTGGATTTGTATTTTAAATATTTTCTCTTTATTATTGACTCTAGATTACGTATATATAAGATGTCATGTCATGCCCAAGCAAGCTTTATTTTTGCTTCAATTTTACTGATATAACTAAAATTTAAAAGTCGCTGATTGAAACTTAATTGCCGAGTAAACAAACTACTGACTGATTGACCAATAAATCACCTGTTGACCAGTACAATTAAAAAATTATAACATTAAGCTAAAAGTTACAATTTTTAACTTTTTCTTATAAATAATAAATATTGATGGGAATATAAATTTATCTGATATTTATTTTTTTCTACAGTATTTGACAACTTTGCTACAAATGTAATTAATATGGTAATTCCAGGTTTAAAAAATATAGCTTACAATTGTATATGTGCATTGATGATGTGCAATGCTTGCTATTAACATGATCAGAGACATATAATACAAGATATTTGCAACTCGGTAAACTAACGTAATATCTCGCGGCCACTAGGAAATCCTCGGGAGATCTTCTTAGGAAATTAAAAGTATTAAAAGTACTCGAAGTAATGATGAATGTTCTAAAATAACTGATATGAAATAGATCGGCTTTCAATGTTAAGATTATCATAATCAAATATATATTTATATAATTTAGGTTCATGTCTAATCACTTTATTTTAATTAATTTGTTTTTACTCTGAATTAAGTTTTGTATTATTGACGTAGAATATATATGCAGTTGATTAATTTTTAGCTGATTAATTTTATTGTGTTTTCATTTTTATTTGACAGTTTCATAGTGGGCTTCTATTGAACATACACCTGTCTCAGAGACATAATTTCAGTGTGACATGTACATCAGGTATGAATTATTCGATGACCAGGTAAATCACAACATGTTAAGATGAGTTTTAATTGACACCTTGTACACAAGAAGTTGTTACGCTCCAGGATCGAGTCTAGACTCTTTCAAAAAGTAAAATTCAAAAATTGTAAAATTAAATATTGTTTTTAAAAACTAATTTTTATTTATTTGCTAATTTATTGTTAATCATGATCGGCTTTGTCTTTTATTCGTTATATTTATAAATCATTAAAATTTGATTAATTATTGTGTTCATGATTATTTGGGCTTGCATTGAGTTTTTCTTTCGGATTGTCAGTAAATGTATGATTTCTAAGTGTGTTTTGACAGTTTCATTATTGGCTTGCGTTGGGTTGTTTTTGTAAATGATTGTCTGTAAATTTATGGTTTCTACATGTTCTAAGTGTGTATTGAGGATTAATATTAAAGAAAATTACAATTATTTTCTCATATGAATAAAGCTTCATTCATATGGCAAAGTCCGATTTTATTTCGTGGGATGACGATCTTAATAGTTACGACTTAGATATACCCCTAGTTGAATAAACTGACAACGAACTCTGTTGATAATGATAGTGACGAAGACATAAGCGAGAGACCAGCCAAAAAAACAAAAAAAATTGAACAATAGTGCATATATACAAGGATATGTGTGTCCTCTGTGCAACAAAAATCTAAAAAAAAATTTTAAGTGGGAGCCGAGGTCACACATCAAAGCAACATGGAAGACACTACTTTAAGGGTATTTTACAAACTTATTTCCACGGGACAATTTTTTGTAGTGGTTTTTGTCTATTTTCTGGGGAAAGGAGATGACAGTTTAAAAGGGTAAACGAACAGAAAGTCACAGGACAAAAAGTCACAGATTTGATAGGACAAAAGTCACAAATACTTTGTATACAATTGTTTGAATATTTAAGAGAAAGATCTGGAAATATTTACTTTTTATTCCATATATTCATTTCACAGTTTAGGAAATAGTTCATAAGACTAGATAAATGAAGATTTATTAAATTTTAATCCTGCAAATGTTATATTTCATGGCACCAAGAAGCCATATAAGTACAAGCCACTTTGACATTTTGTTTTCTTAACAATTATATGACAAAGTTGAGTTAAGGCCCTTGACTAAGGTAACGGGTGTGTAACTACTTAAAGACAAAAATCGTAATTAACTTTGTTTTCTCATCAACAATCACTTCATAGTATTATAGCTGCTTGCTTGTATGTAGTTCTAGTCCTTAAGTGGAATCTGAAAGAGATATCCGTATATCCAAATGCATCACAGTTCGTGGTAAATCAGTCTGGATTACTCAAGAAATCCACGTGTGACTGCACATGAAAACATCAACAATGTACGAATAAGAGTAAGAGACGTACCTCTTTCAGCAGACGACGGACAAATTATTAGGGAGTTTGAAAAATATGGTTGCTCAATTTTGAGCAACTTTAGAGAACGATTAAGATATAACTACAAACTGACCAACTGCCTAACCGGAGACAGGATCATCATTTGTGATGGACCGCTAACAGAGCACATCCCAAGATCCATTCTCATTGGCAAATATAGAGCCACCATCCTCTATCGTGATCAGCCTAAAAACAACTTTCAAAATAAAAAATGTTCGAAATGTCTGCAAGAAGGTCACCAAACAAAAGATTGTACCAATGATTGGGTATGCAGATCATGTGGACAAGAAGGACACAAACAAAATGCCTGTACCAAGGATACTTTCTCAGACGTCCCCGAACAATCAGATAAAGAAAACAATGAAACAAGTGATGCGGATGATGAACTGGCACTGATGCAACACAAATATCCGTCCGAACCAACAATGATGTAACATGTGAAAGTGCATCAACTACCGAAGTGAGCGGTCATGAAGGCGCATCATCTTCTGAACGTGAAGGTGCATCAACTACTGGATGTGAAGATGACAATGGACAGTCGCAATCTATTATCAATCCTGTAGCTGATCCACAAAAACGAAAGAAAATAAAAAAAAGAACAGTAATAAAAAGGGTGATCCCAGTCAAGCTCAAATAACCTCATTCATGTCCGGTAATCAGAGCACACAAGAATCAACCAAAAAATCTCAAACTCCATCAAAACAACCTGTTAGTATTACATTTCTGAAGTCCCCAGTAACACCAAATGAGAAGCTTCACGACAAAGAGAGTGATTCTACTGCCAAGAGGTCCAAAACAACTGATACCTAATTATATACATACATGTAGTTATGTATTATTGTCATTTTGTTTATTTTCTTTGGTTACATTTTCTGACATCAGACTCGGACTTCTCTTGAACTGAATTTTAATGTGCGAATTGTTATGCGTTTACTTTTCTACATTGGCTAGAGCTATAGGGGGAGGGTTGAGATCTCATAAACATGTTTAACCCCGCCGCATTTTTGCGCCTGTCCCAAGTCAGGAGCCTCTAGCCTTTGTTAGTCTTGTATTATTTTTAATTTTAGTTTCTTGTGTACAATTTGGAGTTTAGTATGGCGTTCATTATCACTGAACTAGTATATATATTTGTTTAGGGGCCAGCTGAAGGACGCCTCCGGGTGCGGGAATTTCTCGCTGCATTGAAGACCTGTTGGTGACCTTCTGCTGTTGTCTGTTCTATGGTCGGGTTGTTGTCTCTTTGACACATTCTCTATTTCCATTCTCAATTTTATAATTTACCTGTGTTTGTATAAGTATCAAAAACACAACAATATTAATATAATGATGTATTAAATTAATATTTTATTATCATTACAGGTATCATTTAACCACAATTCAAAATTAATAGACCATAAAACTATAAGTCATCATTTAATTCTATATCACTCAATTATCAGTCTACATAACCACAACTAAATATCTCCTCTCTTATTAGTAATTTACAATCCTTTTGTGACTATGTACAATTTCTCATGTCCAGTGGTAAGCAGCGTGTGCACAATCTCAACATCTTTAGATTTTTTTTTATTATTAAAATTCTTTGTGTCTTTTTTTATCACTTATTGCAAAGCTGCACATGTACATTCACTTCACATTTATGTTTTCAAAAAGCTTGTCGGAAACAAACTCTTTCCTATATAATTGTAATAAATCCTTCAATAGTTTTGGTTAAAGCAGATATGGGATTATCATCAGTGAATTCATACACCAAACCTCAAAAGGATAAAGTACACCTACAAAAATCAAAACAAAGATCGATTATTATAATTGACACAAAAACATTCATAAGTCATACAATACAAATATTGATCATAAACATACTAGTATTTCACTTAGCTTATCAAGTAGCCAACAATACTATACAACATTGGCTCTGTAAATATCATGTAAATAATAGTCCAGTATGTATTTTTATAGTACATGTAAAAACATTTAGCAATTTTGTTAATATAGTGTTTAGTTTAAAGTCATGTTTTTTTTCTATTAATCATCTTTGTATATATTTGTCGAATGATTGTATTTGCATGTATGTATACAAACTTAATGAGTCCAAAATATTTTTTTTTTGACACAAAGGGGTCTGTATTTCAAGTCACATTGTTGACCCAATTCACGACCTATATATTGAGGTCAGCAACTGATATGTTGTGTAATGTTTGCACATACATAATCATAATAATTATGGTTGTATATAGATGTACATATATAAAGAATTTAATACTGATACAAATGTCATACAAAAAAACCAACAAAGCAAGGATAAAGATAAAATCTTAAATTCAAATTCATGTGGATCTACACGTTCAACTTTCTTTCAAACTGAACAGAACTCCTTAATTATACTAGCTCACCTTCTTAATAATAATACAATATGATACATAAAAACTGTATCCATGTCTGCACTGTAAATACCAACGGGTTACACAAATCTGAAAAAAGGAAAGAATTTTTGAATGGGCTAATCAACAAAAATGTAATATAGTATTCCTACAAGAAACTCATTTTACTTACACCTTAGAATCAAAGCTAAAATAAGAATTCAAAGGTGAATTAATTTTAAATAATGGGTTAAGTAATGCAAGAGGGGTGGCTATATAGATAAAAAGCAGATTAAACTACAAGATCATTGACCAATATAAAGACTCAGAAGGTAGATTCATACTAGTTAATATAGAAATAGATGACAATATATACACCTTAGTGAACCTATATGCACCTAATAATTGTAAAACAAGAAATACTTTTTTTAAATCAGTAAAGCAATTAATTGAAGATCATAGTATTGGCCAGTTAATAATTGGGGGTGACTTCAATGACATAATATCTATAAAAGATACCAAGAAAAAATTAGGAAATAAAAAATTTGATAAACCAGTTCATAACCTCAAAACATTGATTAAGAATCTAAAACTAACCGATGTCTGGAGAGGCAAAAACATAAATAAAACCCAATTTACCTGGAGAAGAAAAAACTTATCAGAATCTATAAGAATTGATTATTTTTTAGTAAGTGACGAAGTTAATAAAGATTGCATTTCATGCGATATAAGACCAATAGTTCTACAACACACTGATCATTACGCCGTTTCATTAAAAATCAACATAAATAGAAACTCAAAAGGGCGAGGTTACTGGAAATTAAACAGTAGCATCCTAGATGATAAACAGTATCTAAAAATTATTTCAAAGTTGATTAAAACATATAAAAGCAGAAACATCTCTAAACCTAGATATTTTATGGGATAATTTAAAGTTGAGGTAAGGGATTATACCATTCAATACTGTAAATTAAAAGCAAATATTAGAAAAGATAATATTGAAATTTTAGAAAACACATTAAAAACATTATCTGCTGAAATTGATTGTGACAGCAATACACATGAGAGGAAAATTAACCTAAAAGAAAACATAGAAAAACAATTAACAAGCTTATATAATGAAAAAATTAAAGGAAATCAAATAAGATCACGTGTGAAATGGCTAGAAGAAGGGGAGAAAAACACATCCTTTTTTCTTGGCCTAGAAAAAACAAGGCAAAGTAAAAAAACTATAACTCAACTGTATGATGAAAATAAACAGGTAACATATGACCAAAACAAAATAATAAATCTAGAAGTTAATTATTATACTAAATTATATACTTCAACAAAACCTGACACAGAAGAGGTAAGAAAGTACTTTGAAACTATCAAAGAATGTAAAGAAATTAATGAAAATGAAAGCAATACATGTGAAGGAAAAATTACTATAAGTGAATGCACAGAGGCTATATTTAAAATGAAACTGAACAAAGGCCCAAGTTTGGACGGACTAAATGTTGAGTTTTATAGAAAATTCTGGGAACAAATTAAAGAATTGAAGGTACCCGTTTTCAATTATTGCTTTAAAAAAGGTGAATTAACCAACTCCCAAAAAATTGGAGCTATATCTCTTTTGTATAAAAATAATGATCCACTCTCCCTTGATAACTATAGACCTATCACATTATTAAATTATGATGTTAAATTATTAGCCTATGCCTTAGTGCAAAGATTAAAATCAGTACTTCCAAAAATCATTCACTCTGATCAAAAAGGTTACATAAAAACAGATACATAGGATTTAATATTAGACAAATCCAAGACATCATTGATTATTCTGAAAAATTTAAAGTAGATGGTGTAATTTTATTTTTAGACTTTTCTAAAGCTTTCGACTCACTGGAGTGGTGTTTTATGTTTGAATCTTTAAAAAAATTTGGTTTTAAAAAGGAATTCATTAAATGGGTTGGAACTATGTATACAGATATAAAAGGGTGTATTTTATATAATGGATGGGTGTCTGCCCCCTTCAATACATTCCGTGGGATTAGACAAGGGTGTTCGTTATCCTCGTTAATTTTCGTTTTATCTGTTGAAATAATGGCAATTAAATTAAGGGAAAATAACGAACTAAAAGGATTTGAAATCAAATTAGATGGAAAATCTTGCTCGCTAAAAATATGTCAATTGGCAGACGATACTCAACTGTTTTTAAAAACACGCAAAGAAATAAGTTTAGCCCTTAACATTATTGAAATTTTGGAAGCCTTTCTGGACTTATATTGAATAGAAATAAAACAGAAGGTTTGTGGCTTGGGAAACTTCAAAAGATAAATTTGAAAATATAAACTGGAAACAAGACCACATTAAAAGTCTAGGAATATATTTTGGATACAATTATCAAGAATGTCATAAATTAAATACAGAAAAGCAAATAGACAAATGTGAAAAATTAATTCAAGGATGGAACAAACGAAACTTAACATTAATAGGAAAGATAACTGTATGATAATAACACAGGAAATAAAGCAACAGTTCAAGAATTTAATATATAATTTTATATGGAGTGGAAAAAAAGATAAAGTTAAACGTACTACATTATGTAAACCATATCTTGAGGGGAGATTACAAAAGATTGATTTAGACTGCTATCTAAAATCATTACAAATCAGATGGGTTTTAAAACTAATAAAAAAGGAAAATGATAACTGGAAAATTATTCCAAGATTTTACCTTGATAAATTTGGGAAATATTTTCTTTTATTCAGAATGAATTTAACAAATGATAATTTGCTTAATAAAATAGATTATAAATCTTTACCTGAATTCTATAAACAATTAATTAAAACATAGGTAAATAAAAGGAGGTCAAACAATCATACCAAGAGACTTTCTTCGGGTTAGAAAAGAACTTATATGGGGAAATCATCTTATCAAAGAAAATGGGAAATGTCTGTTCTTTGAAAACTGGATTAATAGTAATATTTTGTACATCAATAATATATTAGATGAAAACGGAAACATCTCATCAGAAACTGTACTAAAAAATTTAAAGAATAAACAAGATTGGATTAGAGAATTTTCATTAGTTAAAAAAGCTATACCAAAGCACTGGCAAAATATTTTAAAACAAGAAAGCTCTTACAAAACTGTTGTCAATATAAAAACATCAGTGAAGTTAAAAGTAAAATCACAAAAATACTGAACTCCGAAGAAAATTCAATCGGAAAGTCCCTAATCACATGGCAAAATCAAATGACAAAACACATCAAACGAATGGACAACAACTGTCATATTCCTGACTTGGTACAGGCATTTTCAAATGTAGAAAATGGTGGATTGAACCTGGTTTTATAGCGCTAAACCTCTCATTTGTACGACAGTCTTATCAAATTCCGTTATATTTACAACGATGCGTGAACAAAACAGACATTATAAATAAAATAGTCAAAATATGGGTACAGCAGTCATCACTGTGTTACAATATCAAAACAAACAATTATTTACAAAAAAGAACAAAAGCATCTATCAAATAAAAAACCACATTCATTGCTTCGCGTGTCTGACGTCAGAAAATGTAAACGTCACATAAGAAGAAATTTTGTCATTCAATTTTTATTCAAAACAATTTTATAATTTCACATGTGGAATGTTGGTATACAGGGTTAAAAAATCAAAAGTTATGTTAGAATTAATTTCAGAAATAGACCGAGATTTAAAATTGTCCAGAAGTTCTTTAGAATATTTAAGAATCCACATATGGTTAATACCACTACGGGAGTAAAATAAATTTGTCGTTTGTCGTTCAAAGTATTTTCAAATTTATAATAGAACAATAACATAATGACATATAATAGAACAATAACATAATGACGGGATCTTTTAAAGTACAGAGTCACGTTATAAGAACCACAGAAACACAATAAGTCGCATATACAAAACACACCAGCAAAAATGAAAGATAATACAAACACATTGACGGGATGTATAAGTACCTAGCCACGTCAAATAGATATCACAGAAAACAAACCAAACAGTAAAAGTAATATTAATAATAGAACAAAGACAAATGAAAGAACAATATTACACGTTGTTAAGATGAAAAACAACGTCAGTATGCAGAATCTATACTTCAAGACCATCATGTATTATTTGTGAAGTTGATACGGAATATTTATCAACAAGGTCTTGGTACCTTCCGATGAACTTTTTTAGAAAAAGGACGAGACGTTCTTTGACATACCCCTGGTTAAATATACTACTAAAACATGAAATTTCACCAGATATGAGTAACAAAGAAGTATATACTTTCTTGCAAAGGCAATTTACACATAATAAACCGACAGGAGTTTTAATGTGGGAAAGAATTCTTCATAAAAAAATGACTACAAAATTGAAGTCCACATTTAACTTTATTTTTAACTACCTTGAAAACAACAAATTTAAAATGTTTAAATGGAAAATAATACATTATATATTAGCCTGTAATAAATAATTTATAAATGGAAAAAGTACCAAGAGGTTTGTGCTTCCATTGTAAGCAACATGATGATTATAAACACTTCTTTTTTTCCTGTTCATATAAAGTTCATTATTGGCATAAAGTTGACCAGCTATTAGCATTTTTAAAAATTGATAAGCATATACTTAGTCTTGAAAGTTAAGTAACCGGCTATAAAATTGATGATGAAGCTTATTTTGATATGAACTATCTATTAACTATAATTTTCTCTTCCATCTATAAAGCATATTATATGTCTGACAAGAAAGATAAGGTCATTGATATCTTCAAAATCTTCAAAAATGAAATCTGGGACATTATTAGCATAAATAAAATCAGAAGCAAAAAAAACAAGAAAATAATATTTAAAACAAGGAAATATTTCTAATTCCTTTAAATGAAATGACAATTATAAGATACAAGTCTTAGCTGTGACCTCATTAATACATGACTGCACATGTGTCCAGTCAATTAGTGTGCATTAACTGAAATTCGCAATTTTACTCTTTCATAATTTATTACAGCTACACTGAATTAATATTGTTATTAAATATGTTTATTCCTGTTCACAATGAAAAATTATAATGAGCAGGAGAGCGAGCAGAATACACAACACAATGCAACGTTACTGCATACATGTATTATTTGAAGACCACCTTTACTTTTGATCAACTTTCGATCTTCAGCTTTATCATAGAAATTAACATTTACAGTTAAAAAATAATGTGTGGAAAAAAAACATTTTTACCTCATCATCCAAGACTTCTTATATAATGCAGTGTTGTAAACAAAACAAAAAGTTTTAAGTTCAAAATTCTATTGTCGGCTGAAGAGTCATGCTATCAGTATCAAAGATCAATAACATCATCAATTTCGCGGTTCAGTGAAGCTTTAATAAAAAATCATATACAGTATAGGTTAAGAAACGTACCGTATTCCGGTAAAAAAACAATATACGATATCTATCTTTCCCTAGATATTCAATTACTAATTTAAAGGGATACTTAAGGTAGCACAATACAAAGATTTTTTTACTTCCATCTCCAACCTTTAAAATGTTGTTACTTTCTAAAAAATGCATATAAATTAATAAAAGAGGTACATATAGATAGATAAAAGATTAATCTTTTAAATGAATGCAATATTTTTGTTATGCAATCATTATGTTATCAATTATAATGCAATTAATGGCAAAATCTTGGTCAGTTCACTTGAATGAATTTAGCTCTTTCATCTCTATAACTATACAGGAAATTTTAACGAAATCTTAATCAACACAGCAGGAGCTACAAAAGGGTGTCTCAAATTATCGCTATGGTATTCCATTCTCTCATAAATCTGTAATTAGTGTAAACATCCTTACCACATAAAAGTAGATAATGTTTGATAAGGTGTAAAATTTTATCTATACATTCTATCCAAAATCTGAGACACACACTTTTGTAGTTAATGGCTCTAGGAACAACATATAATAAAATCAACCCTCTAGGGGTTACCATGAAGAAGCTAATTTCAATTGAAAGTGGAAATTTCTTTAAAAATTTTGTAGACACAGTTAACATTATAATTGATTACATAATTATTGTATAATACTAACATTGCATTAATTTGAAAGAGTAATCTGTTAGCTATCCATAAATACCACTTTTATAAATTTTCAAGCATTATAAAGAAAGTTACAGCATTTTAAAACTGGGGAATTGGAGGTATAAAATCTTTGTATTGTGCTACCTTAGTTGAAGCTGTAGATTGAGTAAATAGTTAACAGCAAAGGTGCAATAAAATTAATTAATTAAAAAAAAAACGATTATATGATCATTTTTGTTAATAATTTTGTTTACAAAGTAGCTTTATATACAAAACTTCAAGAAAATACAAAAGTATTTTTTTTTTTAAATAAGTGTTTTCTTGTTCAAAGAAAAATAATCTCAAACTGAATTGTGACTTTTTGTCAAGTGACTTTTTGTCCGTCACTTTTTGTCTGTGACTTTTTGTCCTGTGATTTTCTGTCTTACATTCTTTAAAAGAAAGAATATTTTATGTGTACATTTACAAATCCTTGGTGTAAATAAAATCTTTTATTATCACACATATATATAAACATGTATGTGTAGACTGGAAGAGTAATTTAACGGACACAAATTTAATTTCTTTTGCAGTCACCATAGAAATGTCCTCACTGCTTTTAAATTTCAGCAAATATTTGTCTTCATATGAATATGGTTCATGTTTTGACTGGGATGCGTAGTTTGAAACGACAACAGATGCATGAAGCTTATCCATAATATTACGGCCAGTTTAGAAGGTTTCTCTTTCTATGAAAATTTTACTCCTTTTGTAAATTTACTGCCTTCGTTCATCTTTGGCATCCTAAAAAGAAAAAGAAAAAATTGACTTCAGAATAGGAGAAAATAAACAACTTTTCCCTAAACAGAATGAAAAATGGATAATTTGCACAACAAAATGCAGGCTATAAATTTCATAGTGCACAAAAATGAAGGACTGGTTCGAAGAAATTTGTCCATGAACAGTTTTAATATTTAGCCAGTTTTATATACAAAAAAAGAAATGAAAATACCTTATTTGTTTACATTACACTTCCAGTGTGAAATAAACAATTAAAGTTTTACACCCCTAACATGTGTCAAGAGTTTTTTTTGAAGAATAAAAGTAGGGTACCCACATAGCTGGCTTTGGGTAGAGACACGAAAATAATAGTCATCTTTGTTGGTATTAAAATTTTTTTTAGAAATAACTATAGGATCAAATCTCACGAAATGGATCTTTTTTCACTGCATAGCATTTGGGAGTAATATATCCCCATAATATGACATATTTATTTGTAAATGTTTAATTTTTACGAAACAGATTGGTAGAACTAGCATAGCTGGCTTTGTGTATCAATAACAAATAATTGTCACCTTTGTTGATATTTTTAGAAATAACGATTGGATCAAATTTTACGAAACTGGTCTTATTTTCACCGGTTCTTTGCTTTTGCGCCAATTAGCATTTTATTTGCACCAAAATAATCTTTCATTTGCGCCACAAACCATATTTTTGTTTTTATGAATATGATTATCAGGTCAAAATGTAATATATGTCTGCTAAACTCTGCTTCCTGTTAACTTTCCATGTCTATGTAGCAACATTCTAGCAGCACCTGCATACGGAGTATATATCTCCCAATTGATACGATATTCCCGGGCTTGTATTTCCTATAATGATTTCCTTGATAGAGGGTTGCTGCTCACAAGGAAGCTATTAAACCAAGAGTTCCAAATGGTAAAGTTGAAATCATCCCTTCGTAAATTTTACGCCATCACGAGTTGGTTGACCGTTATTGAATAACCGTTTCACAGATGATATCGGATATGTATCTTATGTCGTAATTACAATCCACTTCCTTTTTAATCACGAATGTGACCTACCGAATAAGACTATTTACCGGAATTGTAATAACATGAGCAACACGACGGGTGCCACATATGGAGCAGGATCTGCCTACCCTTCCGGAGCACCTGAGATCACCCCCAGTCTTTTGGTGGGGTTCGTGTTGCTTAGTCTTTAGTTTTCTATTTTGTGTCATCTGTACTATTATTTTTCTGTTTGTCTTTTTATTTTTTAGCCATGGCGTTGTCAGTTTATTTTCGATCTATGAGTTTGACTGTCCCTCAGGTATCTTTCGCCCCTCTTTTATACCTAAGTGACTATCAGTTTTATATTAGAAATGAGAATGAACTTATTTAGTTACCCAGGGGGAATACTCTAAAAAAAATTCTTATTCACGATGTAGCAATGAATATTTTTTAAGTGTTCCGTTATATGTTACCTGTAAAATGTCGCAAACGTAGTTTTTATTTTTTTGGCGCAAATGAAATATAACCTTGTGGCGTAAATGAAAGATTGGATTTTGTAAAAATTGCTGCAAATGCAATGCGCCCATTTTCACGACATAACATCTTGGAGTAATATGGCCCTATGCAATTGTATATTTATTCGCACATTTCAAAGTTTTACGAAATAGAATGGTAGTACTAACACAGCTGGCTTTGGGTATCAATACGGAAATAATCGTCACCTTTGTTGATAATTTTGATAAAAACTATGGGGTCAAATTCTACGAAAATCGTCTTATTTTCACGACATAACATTTGGGAGTATTAATGCTCCATAAAATTATACATTTATTCGCATATTTCCTAGTTTTACGAAAAAAAATTGGGAGATCTTATGGGTTCTATGGCAATAGCAGGTGACGTAAAATGGGCCGAGTTTTAACTTTGTTTGTATTTGACTACTCTCATTATTTCAACACATTGTTTTTAATTACAAATAATTGGAATTGGGTTTTTGTATTTTTTAAATATACTTACATACTTTAGCTGTGAAAAGTATCGGCATTATTCATTAGAAAAATCGTTAGGCGTAGAATCTTTTTCACAACAATGGCGGATTTTACCCAAAATGCCAATCGGCATAATCGGATTTCCGGTGGCCGAGGCATTTCATTGGCTGTTACATAGACTCTACTACAGTTGCGAATCTCTTGTATCATATGTCTCTCACATGACTAGAGTAAGAATGTGTTTCAAAAGAGTTAAGAATTTTATCAGGGAAATATTGGGAAATGGGCAAAGCTGAAATTAAGAATTTTATATCTAATAAACAACAATGAAAAACTCTTTTCGTATAATTTGTGTAGCCTTTAAAAAGGCTGTTGTATATGGTACAAGTGTCTTGTTATCTGTCATCTGAGTTCAGTAGGGGGTTAGCAATCTTTTGACGAAGTAGCAGTTCTTTCAGCTTTGAGTTGAAGTAGTCAATGGATTTTCCACAAGACATCTCTGGGGATATCTTTCGTGGAAGGTCTGCAGTGACACGTCCTCGGACAACCATAACTGTTGAAACCACTTTATAAAGATGATCAATAATAAACGGTTGCAACATTCCACGGTTAGCGATGTGGTCCAAAAATCCTCTAGTGTAGTTTCCAGGTCTTCCTTTGTTTTTAAGTCTTTTTTTGGTTAGTCTTCGTTTTAGCATTTTCCAAACCATTTCAATCGGGTTTAAATCTGGAGACTCTGACGGCCAACATTCCCACCAATTAATGCTTTTCATAAAGTTTTTTGACAATAATCGAACAATGTTTTGGATCATTGTCTTGTTGGAAACGGTGTTTGTCATGGTACACGTCTTGAATAAACGGTAAAAGTGTTTGTCGAAGAATTTTATCTACAAAAAAAATCTGATCGTAGTATGTTCCTCTGCGAATTATACCTCCCAAAACATGAAGTTTGAATGCATGCTTATGTTGCGGAATTGGTTGTGCGACTTGGTCTCTCATGCGGTAAATTACTACTTTATTATCATGTAGCTGGACGGTGCATTCATTTGTAAAGATGATGTCTGCGAAATTGTCATTGTATTTTATCAACTGTTGACAGAAAGTGACCTGTTTCACTTTTTTTGCCTCGCGAATCATCTGACAGTAACGCGGTGCACTGGCGGTGTACCTGACTTCGTACATTATCCTTTGAACAGTAGTTTTTGACTAAACTGACCCTTTACTAGCAACTTAAGATATACAAAGATGCTTTGCCAAAAGATGCTTCCCCAGAATTTGCACCATCTTCACCAGCCAAATCAAGTGAAGATTCATCACCAAATGTACCACCCCCTTCTAAAAGAAAAAGAGTTACAGTGCCAAAATTAAAGCCATATGCCAAATTTATCCCTTGATGTGAGGGAATACGTGACACTGCTGCTATAGATGACCTTTATTAGTTTAGATCAGCAACACAATCACCAGTTCTGCATATTGAACTAAAACCACCTACGCCACCTTCACCAACACCATCAAATCCACAATCACCAATTGTAGCAACAGTTCCATGTCAACTTGACAAACAGCTACCTGGTAACAGCGTACTCT